TCATGAACTAAGCATGATGATGGATTTTATATATATATATATATATATATATATATATATATATATAAGCCTCAGCGATAAACCTGGCTCGCTAAGTTTATCTAGGTCTTCTCTACGGTTGCCTGGCTGCATACACAATTCCGGAAAATCCTTGTTGAAAACACAACTATACTTAAAAATGAAAACAATAAACAAAAACTAAAAATTCTTGAAGCTATATACATAAAACTGTTGAAACCTAAGCTGCGACGCAATTTTCGCTTCCTTTACTTAAAATAAATTGACAAAACTTGTCTATATTATTTAACGAAACATGCATTAATATATATACATATATATACATATATATATATATATATATATATGTGTGTGTGTGTGTGTGTGTGTGTGTGAGTGTGTGTGGGGGTGTGCGGGTGTGTGTGTGTACATGTAGTATACATATGAATTAATAAAATAGTGCCTGATGTAATATAACAGATCTATAAACAATATATTATGTATATTTCCTTATATATATATATATATATATATGTGTGTGTGTATGTATATATATATATATATATATATATATATATATATATATATATATATATATATATATCTACATCTATATGTAGAGTGTGTGTATATATATATATATATAAAACATATAATATTAGGCATCATATATTTTATATATAAAAAATAATCATACATAGAATCAATAGAATTAATATTGCTGATTGATTCTATGTATGATTATTTCTTCATATATATATATATATATATATATATATATATATATATATATATATATACTTTCATTAGAGAAGTTTATCAAAAATGATTTTACAAAATTTAGGGTGGGATCCTGACAAGCAAAACGGGGTCTAATATTAATATAAATATATATCCAAAAGTCCATCGTTGTATCTTAACAAATGTAGAACGTCTCCTCCGGTTGCTTCTACACACGCATGCACACGTCGAATTATTGACTGGCGGACCCTCTTAAATAGTCTCACCCGGTGTCAAATGGTTTTGCAGGCCACCATGACAGGTTCATGAACCGTCTCTGCATTATTAAAGTTTCTGCTTCAACCAATGGTTTTAGTGGACCCACAGATAGAAATGCAAACGATTCAGATCAGAGGAACCGTTCCTCTTTGACTTATCAATATTTCAAGGTCGATGTTAGCCAGTGCATCGCGAAGAATGTGACTAAAATGTCATGGTGCCCATCACGCATGAACCACCTACGTCTTCGTCTCTATGCAGTTCCTGTAAAACGTACAGGGAGAACATATGGACCTACCATACAATGACCTATAATGCAAGCCCACACATTAATGCAGGTGTTTAGCCTGTAATATACCATGGAGACCCCATTCCGCCCACAATTTTTGATTAGATATTTTTATTATTCCATCATTCCAGATGTTGCCTTATAGTTAGACAAGACTGAAGAGACAAACAACGGATCGGCCGTTTGTGCAATAAACCATCAGCAAAAGTTCTCCTGTGGTGAGGGATCAGAAGACGAAAAACCCTGCTCACGATGCAAATGATACGGTTACAGGAACTGCTCTTAAAGTCTCTTCCATGCGGTTCTATGCGATGTACGACATGCTAAGGCCACTTGACGTGTGCTGATACCTGGATCGTCTCCGATATCCTATAGAATGTGTTCTTCGTGGTCAGGTGTATGAGGGGATAACGTTCTTCATTGATCCATATTTTGTGGCGCCACCTAATCTGTTTCAGAAGTACGACGATATACAGCAGCAAATGTTAAATGACTCGGCTGGCTACGGTCTTGAATCTTAGTCTGATATAGCAGTGCGACCTTGCATCTATTTCTATTCACGCGGCTGTATGTAAAAATCATATCTGCCTGATTACGATATGAGTATCCTTCCATTGTCAAAAGAAACACTTCTCAGTTAACTCACTACTACACACATTAAACGCTGAAGACAAACTAGCCACAAATGTACTTGTCTACATTGCAGCACAGCGCCATCTATCGTAAACTTCTTATCTCAGAAACAAAGGATTTGCGGATGTAAATTTATATGTATTTTTTTCTTTGTTTTGATTTGAGGAACCCGGGGTCAATGTTTGTGAAAGTATTTTGCTACATACTGTATATTTATGTATGCAAATGCACACACACACACACACAAACGCACACACACACACACACACAGACACACACACAGACACATATATCTATATCGAAATATATATATATATATATATATATATATATGTATGCATATCTATTTGCATATATATTTTTATATATATATATATATATATATATATATATATATATATATATATATATATATATATATATATATATATATATCCATGTGTATGTGTGTCTACATTTAAAAATAAGACTATTGGCCTTGTTATCGAGTAGATGAAGTAAACAGACTAATTCTTACGTTTGTAAGTTCACAAGTTCGCACTGCCATCCACACACACACACACACACACACACACACACACACACACACACACACACACACACACACACATATATATATATATATATATATATATATATATATATATATATTAATTTTGTTTCTCGCTTACCATCGCTGTGGTATTATTAATTACTGTTGTGGTAGGATCCACCTAATTTGCATAGTGGAGTACCGACCATATAAATATGGTTGGTACCGGGAAGAGAGGGAGGAATCAAGAGATTCAACCAGAGACTCTGCCCGACTGCGACTCAGTCAACACATTCTCCAGGAACGGTCTTCCCAAGAATATACAAAAGACTATATGTAAATATTGTTGTACACTTTCTTGTTTCAATACATTTTGTTCTAAGTACATTTTGTGTTGTATTATTATTCCATACATTAGTCAAGTTTCAACAATTACTCATTTAGTTTTAATATTACTAATTACCAAAAGTATTGCTAATTAACTCGTAGCAGGAGGAAGGGACATAGATTCATGCCTTCCCCAAAGGTATTTTTGCGCAAGTGAATATAACAAATCAAACTGGAATTGAAACCCGGATTTCCGATTAAGAGTTCCGTGCCATTCCCCAGTACAATACACACACATAAAACCTTATCGACCCTGGGCATCGCCGGTAAGACGTTATACTACATTTGACAGGATGACATTTGATCAGAAAGATTTGAGGAGCGAAGAACCACTTCTTAATTGTTGTTGTTCCTAGTTCTAACCTGATCCAGGGTGGCAGCACCTGTCAGGGTCTCAGCTATGGGAAAATACTTAACCCTTCAATCAGGATCAAAACGCTATGAAAGTATAAACGTATGTTTTAATACCAGCAATATATTCTTTTGAAAAAAATTTGCCAGCTATACATTTTGGAAAAAATACCAGCAGTACAATTTTTTAAATAAAAAAAAAAATATTACTAACAATACAATTAAAAAAAAAATATTACCAGCAATTAAAATCTTATCGTCATTGAATAACCTATATAGGTAAAACAAATCCGTGGGTAAGTAATCCAAGTAGATGCTATTAATATAAAATATTAAAACTGATCCACAAAGGAGAGCTGAATATATACATTTTTTTATTATAGAGCATATAAATGAATTACAGTTGATGAGACCCAAACAATTTACCTCATGCAGATGATCATTTCCTCCATGGGAAAGTAGTTTTTCCTTGGACTTATCAATACAAATATATTTTAGTATATGTATTTGCATTGATAAGTGAAGGGAAAAACTACTTTTCTATGGACGAAATGATCATCTGCATGATGTAAATTGTTTGGATCTCATTAATTGTATTTCACACACACACACATATATGTATATATCTATATATGTGTGCATGTGGGTGAGTGAATGCATGTGTATGTTATAATCATACAGTTCGATACGCATTTATTTCAGAAAACATCGATATACTTTCACTCCAGCTTCGTCTCAATTGTACTAAATCTAATTCCCTGACGCAAAAATAAATAAATAAATAAATAAATAAATTACAAAACAATTTTAAAAAAAAACACAAAGCATTTGTCATAACTCACACAAGTAAACGTGTTATTATAGATAACGCTGTAAACGCAAGATAAATAATAACGATGACTGGCATTTCAGGCTCGGGAAATTATTTTTCATAATTCAAACACAAAGGATCTGAAACTGACAAAGAGAAGCGTAAACACACAGACTTACTAAACCTTCTGCATCTATTCTAAAACTCTCTGCACAAAAATGAAACAAACCTACCGTAAATTTCTACGCGTATAAAGATATATTCCCTTACTTGTTAGCTTAGATTTTTATGGACAATTTTGCGTCTGTTTACTCAAGCGGCCACTGGTTCAGATTGATTTACCTCATTCGTATTACAAATTTCAGAAGGAGTTTATTGTTCCGCTTTTATAATAATATTTTGCTGTGGAAACAAAATGTGATAGTAACCAGCTTCTCGGATAACGTCGGACGACTTTTATTGTTACATTACCTGGTCTCCATATGAAACAAGGTTGAGATAATAGTATTTTATTTTAAAAGAAAATAGTTATAAAAGGATGGAAATATCAATATTAGAAAGCACTTCAAAAAATGAAAAAAAAGCAAGCTGAGGATCCAGGAAGAATACAGAATAGAAGTTTAAAATAATGGATAAAACAATTTAAAACAGAAGGAAAAAGAGGCTTTTAAAATAGAAAATTAAACGTAGATTATAAAGACAGTTGAAAAAAAAACATATATATATATAAAGTAAATGATAATGTAGGTAAAAGCAAAAAGTTAAAGAAGCGAATACATTGGAAAAAGGTGAAAAATACAAAACTGAAAATGGAAACAAAGAAATAGTATAAAAAAACGAAACAAAACGAAAAATGAAAAGGAAATGTAAAAACAAAAGGAAACAAAGAAAAGAAAATGTAAAGAGTAAAATGACATAATATAAAGATGACCTTAAAAAAGAAGAAGACGATATTGCTTTGCGAATGTGTCGTCTGGAAGATTGCTTAATCTTTTTTTGACGCGAAGAACGAAATGCTGAATAAGTAAACGCTAAAGAAGGCAATGAAAATGAATAGGGCAAAAGATAATATGAATGACAAAGAAAAAATAAATAAATGATCGGCACACTAAAGGAAAAAGAAAAAAAAATGGGTTAAGACGATGACAAAAAAAAGGATTAAATTAAGAAAATGAAAAAAAAAATGAAGTTGAGTAAAAGGTGAAAAAAGAAATAAAACGAAGAAAAATAAAACAGGAAAAGACAAAAATAGAAATAAAAACGAAAGCTAATAATAAAAAAAATAAAAAGAGGATACAAGGGCGACAAGAAAAAGATGAAAAACAAAGAAAGAATTAAAAAAGGAAAATGACAAAAAGATAAAGAAACAATATCGGAATCAGAAGATAAAGAAATGAAAAGATAGAAGCAAAATAAAGCTTCCTCCTCTCAAAATAAAACAAGGAAGAAAAGGAAAAATAAGACTAATGAAGACAACAGAAAAGAGAAGGAAAGTAGACCAATGTAAAACATACTGTAGTGAATGCAACGATAATTGCCTACACTTCGAATTTCTTTTCTATGTGCAGTGTTCCATGGCGATGATGGCTCTCCAAATTATCTTTTCTTTTGTAACGCTTCATAAATTTTGTCTTTTTGTTTTCTCTTCTAAACGTTGTTACAGCATCCAATTACAGAATCTTCCTAGTTATGTTATGTGTTGTTTCATCTGTCCTTCTTGCCTATAATCTATTCTGTGTATCACTTTTTCCAAGCCTTCTTTCCTCATTATATGCCCCCGAAATGTCAACTGTCTCTTCTTGATGTTAAGTGTAACTGTCTTTTTTGTTTCCATTTTCTATAAAACTTCAATCCGTGGTATTGTCAGCATTATTCGTGAGCACGTTTCTGTTGCTTCAAGTCTCACTTGTGAGTAGATTGACCAGAATCGAATGCTAAATATGAGGACTGATATTGTTAGGTTGGTGCAAAAATAATGTCGTTTTTTGACGTTCAACTTAACGTCAAAAAAACGACATCATTTTTTGCACCAACCTAATAAATAGGAGTTTGGGACTCTTCTCATTGTTTCGAACGGAATTATTAGGTTAATACTTTTGCTTCTCGAACTACTCTGCTTTAAAATTAATGGTTGAAAATCGCATCTGGGCAATGACCAAATTGATTTGAACAAAGATTCATTACAAGCTTAAAATTTCGTCAGGTTTTCTTTGCGCACATAAAAAATGGAAAGGGGAGACAAAGGAAAGGGGTTAATATGTGTGTGAAAAATAATAAAACTTTATAATAAATTAAAACAAAATTATTAAATAAACTTAAATATACATAGCGCAACATATAATTATACAAATCACTATATTCGAAGTTTTTAAAAAAAAATATATCTCGGATATTTGGCAACTACTTAATACGTGAAGAGGATATATGCGTGTGTCATTGTACAACGTAATTTATATGGCTGGAAAATTGTAACACATATCTAATAAATAAATAGTTATATAGATGCACGCTGGTTTGCAGCCGCTAATTATTTTGAAATAAATGTGATGAGGAAACAAGTATGTAGAATTAATAAATGTAATTATTATTTTGAAAATATTACGTAAAAAATGAATCTAAGTGTACAAAAAGGAGTAATACATACTTTATATTTTTTTCATTAAATACGAATCACCCTAGACAGAGGATTGCTGTTTGCTTGTTTTTTTTAATGGCCTTCACCATTGAAAATTATAATATGGTAAATACTAAAATTGCGTAGTATGAATACCATTTGTATGATATCAGTTTTTAAAAAAAGTCACCCTTTTTATTAATTTCTTATTGTGTTTAATTTAAGTAATATTGTATAAAGTGAGTAATAATTATTATTACATTAACTACTGCAAATGGAACTGAATATGTGTAATTTAAAATAAAACTGAAAATGTTCTTACATCACCTTACGGGTGGTCTAGTATGATGTATTTATTTAGCTTTGTGAAGTTAACATTAATGTATTATTTTCTATGAATTAATCTGGTGAATTCATGTTTAACATATACGTGCAACTTTTTAAATGCCAATGGCCGGTGTTTCATCTCAGTTAAAAAAAGTTTTGAATGTTGATTTTCAAGTAGGAAGAATCTTGTAACTTCAGATACAATAAAATCTTCCTACCTCAATTGTTCTTTTCATTGTATCCTATCACGTATTAATGTAAGCTTAAAATGAAAAAGAGCGCGATAGGTTTAAATTCTGTATTTTACTGATTTCGAACCTCACTAAAAGCAACAAAACCAAGATGGTTGACTAGTTTTTTATTGGTATTTCCTTCGTTCCTATTTCATCTTCCCTATCTTTTTTTTCTATTTAATATTCTCCCTCATTTTTTCTTCATTTATTTCTTTTCCCATTCCTCGATAAAAAACATATGCACAAACACACACAACACACACACACACACACACACATATATATATATATATATATATATATATATATATATATATATATATATATATATATATATATATATATATATATATATAAATGTATGTATGTATGTTTTTGTGAGTGTAAGAAAAAGAAAAAAAGTAAAGATAGTCTTCAATTGTATGACGCAGGAAGAATGTCTCCGCTCTAAAAGCAATGGTGACCATTCGACTCATCAAACAAATATACCCATTTTGTAGTAGCGACAATGGAACTACCAATGAAAGCAAGCCGCTCATTTGATGTATGGAAGAACTGAATGGACACAGATTAATCTCAGATTTTCACTGTAATCACTGGACAAAACCAAAAGAAATTACTTCTAAACTAACTGTGCAGAATCGAAGTTCGCTGCTTGTTGAAGTCAATATTGGTAATATTCCATCGGGGTATTTCTTTGCGGCAATGGGATATTGTATCCTTACAATATTTTGTGATAAAAAGGACAATAAAACTGATTAGGAAAATAATAGCAGATGGAAATAGGCGCCTGAAGAGAAAACTTCGTTAGCATTTTCACAGGATTCTTCATTCCTTTCCCTTATTTAGTTTTTACTTTTTAAAAATCTTGACTGAATTGGATTTTTCCACCACCTTGACGGTAATATTTGCTCGACTGTTCATTATAAAAATACTTTTGCTGTTACATATAGAGCGCCTATTTTCCGGTCAGATAATATCCATTAAATCTTTTAAATGAGAAAATGTACGAACAAATTGCAAAACTTCTGGTAGAGGGAAATACTGTAAACTTGACAATTCTTCCAACCAATAAAGAGCTGATTTGCTTTTAATGAGTGAGGTATATACAGTTTAAATACCTCCAAACTCTCCTTCACTTATGCATCAACAGACGAATGAATACAACAGTCTATAAAAGTGAAGAATCGATTTACCTTTTAAAACTCTTTCTGAAATTCGATTTTCCCTACCATCCACTGTCATATATTTTTGACTGTACGTCATAAAATTTTCAAGACTATGATAGTGTAAAAATAGATTTTAATAGCATAAATACTTTTTGCCAGCAATACATTTTTGAAGAAAAAATAGTACCAAAAATAGATTTATGGAGGAAAAAAATATTAACAGTAACAAAAATTTTGTCGACATTAAATAACCCATTGAGATTGATTGTAAAACAAACCAAACCAAACTATCGCAATGAATCTATTTCAAAGTTTTGTTGGCATTAAATGATCCACTGAGGTTGATATGTTATAAAACAAAACAATCAACCAGAAATAGATTTTTGGAAAAAATATTACCTACAATGAAAATTTTGTCAGTATTAAATAACCCATTGAGGTCGATATGCCGTAAAACAAAATAAACCAAACCAAACCAAGGAATAATATTTTATTCATACGAATCTATCCTAAAAATGATGTCGGCATTAAATAACCCACTGAGGTTGATATGCCGTAAAACAAAATAAACCAAACCAAACCAAACCAAACCAAGGAATAATACTCTATTCATACGAATCTATCCTAAAAATTGTGTCGGCATTAAATAACCCATTGAGATTGATATGCCGTAAAACAAAATAAACCAAACCAATCTAAACAATACATATTCTATTCATACGAATCTATCCTAAAAATGTTGTCGGTATTAAATAGCCTATTGAGGTTGATATGCCGTAAACTAAACCAAACTAAACCAAACCAATTATACATTTAAAAAAATCACCCAAAGAAAGACAAGGCCACTGAGACGCAAGAGAATATGAGTAAAAAACACTATTAAGGAGAGAGAAGAATTAAACGAACAAAAATGAAGGAGACAGTAGTTAACGATATACATTGTAGTTGTTGAAAATCAAAGTGGACTAAAAAGCAAGTAGCTGGAGGAGTGTTCCACAAGGAAGAGGTACTATAAAGGAAAGCTTATAATAGAAATTACCGTTGCATCTAGACATTTCAACTCTAAACTTATGAGACCTTTCTGCCAATCTAGTACTGCGTTGAAAGTCATAAAGTCTAGATACCATGGAGGTAAGTTCATCAGAACATTTATTATAAAAAATATTTATAGAAAAGTCATATCAAAGAAAATTATGGCGGAAAGAAAATTATTGAAGGTCAGAGGTCACATGCGAGATAACATTGGAGATTATTCTTTGGATTTTATCAAGAAGCTCTAAATATAGAGCAGGTGCATGAAAACAGATGTGGCTGCTCTATCCCCGTTCTTACATTAATGCACCTATTTTCCGGCAAGATAATATCCGTTTCCTCTTTTTAATCAGAAAATATACGAACAAATTGCAAAACTTCTGGTAGGCGGAAATACTGCAAAGATCTTGATCATTCTTCCACCAACTGCAGATCTGATCTTCTGTTTATGAATAAGGCATGTGCAGTTTAAATAACAGCAATCACCTCTTCTCTTACGCACCACCAGCCTAGAGAAAACTACAGGCTATGAAAGTGAAGTATCAAACACATGTGATTAAACATATGGTAGGGTTCTTTTTAACCATTTCTCCCAAGCAAAGCAATGAAGCCACTAACATACAAAGGGGTTACTGAACGAGAGAGAATATGAGATAAAGAAAAAAACATTATTAAGGAGAGAGAACAATAAAATAATAAGAATTAAGAAGACAGGAGATAACGATTGACATTG